GCTGCTGCGTAGCTGATTGCAAGTCCTTATGTGTTTAGGATGTGGTCACAATTTTGCCTCCGCGTCCAAGACCATGAACAGATTCCGCATTCATGATATACATGGGTGTTCTCCTTCTGTCGTTTCTTCCGTCCACCTGTACAGTTCTATGATGCATGTATATCCTTCAATCATCTTTCTATGGTACAATTCGTGTCTTAATTATCGCTTTTGGCAGACATCTTATACTTCTTCTAATTAGGTGAACTCCAAAATGTATAATACTGGTGTCAATCAATTCCTTGGTGTCAAAAAACCTATATGTTGCCACAAAATCAACTTCCTATGTCACTTACTTACGGAGTTATCATCATTTGACGAAATTCGCAAAAGGCGCTATTTAGGGTAAGGTTGACTCTGAGTTAGAATAGCCCCCTGTGCATCATATAGAGCGGGAAGCATCATTTTGAACGTTGGGTCACTTAGAGAACTTAATAAGGAAACTTCTGGCCAATTTTGGTAGCTCTAGCTACAATATTGGGTGAGTGAGAAGCAATCATATAGAGCTACTTCAAAGTGAACGCGATTTTTGGCATTTTTGGCCTAACTATCCCACTGTACTCGGACAAGTGACCAAAAAAGACGAGGATTGGCAGTGCATCATGGTCCATCAAGGCATGGAAAAAGCATTGCCACACCTTAAATCGTCATTTGAAGAAGCTGACCTCCGAATACTCATCCACGTCTTGGACTCTCTCAATGCAGGACACAAAGTGTGTGTTGTAATCTCCAACGATTCAGATGTTATTGTTGCTCTGCTCTACTATATGCCCGTCTTTCACCAACACAACCTTGAGTCGCTGTGGGTGCGAGCTGGAATGGGAGATACAACTCGATATATACCCCTTCATACCCTGTTCCAGCGCCTGGGTAATCGGCTCTGTGCAGTACTGCCGGCTATACACAGTCTTACAGGGTGTGACATAACCAGCAAAGTTGGTACAAAGAAGACAGCTCCAAAGGCAAAGCCTGAAAAGTTGCTGAAACACCTCGGGGAATCATCAACCCTCTCTCCGGCCATGACCCGCAACGCCGAGCATTACTTAGTGAAGGTACTGAAAAGAGCTAGCAATGCTAAGTGTTTCTCTGAATATCGAGCAGAGGTTTTCCACTTCAGCAAAGAGGGTTCTCTCCACAGCCTACCACCGACTAGTCAGAGACCCCTGCCTCATATCAAGCGTGCATTCTACAATGCCTACACCATCAACCATGCCTTGGAGTGCCACCTCGACCCTGAAAACGTTGAGACACTGAAGCCAGAGGATTGTGGCTATGTGAACGACCAAGAACAGCTGGTACCCGCAACATCAAGGAAAACCCTCGAGCCTCATTGGTCAGTCTTCTGTTCATGTGCTAAGTGCTCAAGGTCAACTTGCCCATGTAGAAAGGCTGGGGTAAAATGTGGTAAATTTTGTAAGTGCAGGAAAATATTACCACATGATTGTAAAAACCCAATTGTTTGATAGGATTAGGTTGGGTTCTGCTATGTTGTCTAGTATGCTCGGTTCAGTTGTTCTTGTCTCAATTTCGGTTAGGGTAGATACATTGTATATATTTATAACTGAGTATGGTAACAAGGACTATTTTAGACTAATTTATACCTAGGCATTATTTTTCACTAAAGCGTCCACCTGTACAGTTCTATGATGCATGTATATCCTTTAATCATCTTTCTATGGGACAATTCGTGTCTTAATTATCGCTTTTGGCAGACATCTCATACTTCTTCTAATTAGGTGAACTCCAAAATGTATAATAATGGTGTCAATCAATTCCTTGGTGTCAAAAAACCTATATGTTGCCACAAAATCAACTTCCTATGTCACTTACTTACGGAGTTATCATCATTTGACGAAATTCGCAAAAGGCGCTATTTGGGGGTAGGGTTGACCCTGAGTTACAATAGCCCCCCTGAGCATCATATAGAGCGAGGAAGCATCATTTTGAACGTTGGGTCACTTAGAGCACTTAATAAGGAAACTTTTGGCCAATTTTGGTAGCTCTAGCTACAATATTGGGTGAGTGAGAAGCAATCATACTTAGAGCTACTTTCAAAGTCAACGCTATTTTTGGCTATTTTTTGGCTAAAATTGAGCAAAATGTAGCCATTTCGTACCATGAAACAAAGTTTATGGCAACAAATCATGCTAGAAAGTTACTAGTATTGCTCATTCAATGTAATTCAGTGCAATTTTAAAGTTTATGGTTGCTTAATAAATATTTATGCTCTGAAACTTCAATATTGTAATTTTTTCACTTTGGCGCCTAACCAAAAAATCACATAATTAGCTGTACATAAAAAACGCACTTGACCCAGAAGTGTTACCCAAACTTTTTTTGAGAGTCTTACCATAAGGAATGAGAAAATTTAAGGTTTTGCTCTAAAAGAGTCATGTACACGAACACCCCCCAGAGCCTACACTAACTGGAATTGTCGAGCGCGAACCAGTCTATAAAATACGCGGCTTCAGAAATCCGGTATTTAGCGTTCACACGAGGCAAAATGCGCGGTCCAAGAAATACGGTATCTAAACCGATCCGGTATTTGGTGTAAATACGCGGCTTCCCAGACCCCGAATAATTTGCCGTGCTTGAGAAATACCGGATCTCTTGGACCGCGCATTTCCTCGTGTGAACGCTAAATACCGGATTTCTGAAGCCGCGTATTTTATAGACTGGTCCGCGCTCGACAATTCCAGTGTAACGCGAGTGGAACTGTCGAGCGCGGACCAGTCTACGTATTTCATCGGCAGTTGGTGCGCATTGCATTGTTTATTTCGCATTGTTCGCTTGATTGTTTAGAGCAGCTCGCGGCTCGCAAATACCGTATTTCTGGAGCCGCGAATCAGCGTGTGAACGCTCGGCCGCGTATTTGACTCAGAATCGGTATTTCGCAAATACCGTATTTCATAAATACGAGGTCTCGTGTGAACGAGGCTATAGTCTCGCGAGACAGACGGCAATTAAAAGTGTATACATTTTTGGCAAAGAGCCAGCGATAGCATTCTGATTACATTCGCCGCCGCAGAGACGGCGTCCGCGGTTCATAACATCTTATAGTTCTCGCAAGGTTTTCGTGAATCCAATTTGGAGCGAGAATTCGTGAAAAACGAGAGATATCGCATACAGTTGGCTTAATTTTCCGTCGTACCGTCACTTTTCCTTTATAGTAACCTGAGGCTAAACGTAGAGAGATCGAAATGAGTCTACTACCTAGTAGGGGTTTGTGCGAGCTCTTGTGAATAGTACACACAGTCACGCACACACATTTGTCGAATTGGTTTTCAGGTGCGACAGATAATATGGTATATATTTATAACCCATGCTTATGTCGTTTGCGTTTCGTGCCATATAACCATACCTGTATGTGTTCGGAAATGATACGATATATAGTCTCGTGTACACACGAAAATCACGGTTATGCTGACCACGACACACAGTTTTCATAGCAGTATCATTATTAAGCCCCACCACATACTAGAGATATACACATGTCGAGTAGGGATACACCCGGTACTGTATAAGCCGTATTTTTCGCGTACAGATATTTTCGCAAATTCAGACTTGACGGACAATTTCGCGAGTGGTTAATTTCGCGGCCGGTGAATTATGAATTATTCGGTATGAATTATTCGCCTAGCTGTTGCTATTTTCGCGGTCGGGGATGCGTTCGCGAAATTCGCGCAAATTAAACCACCGCGAAATATACAGCTTATACAGTATATGCCTAATCAACAGACATACATATGTGACCACTTGTGCAATCGCTTTCTCGCCCAACGCTGTGTGACAACCATACAACAGAGCTACGTACGGATAACCACGTAAAATGGCGGGCCCTTCTCCAGAAATGTGGACGTAAAACAACAACTGACGACGTGAAACTGGCATTGACCACTCAGTCTCATTCGGCTTGGTGACAGTGTAATAGCGCTGCTGACAGAATCTTCTGTATATTAAATGCTGGTCGGAAATTGGCAGAAACAGCAGGGAAGCTATACACGCATACGTACGTAAATGAGACCGGCAGAGGCCGATGTGCCAGACAGCGTGTCCACTTTGCCGAATATCCCTACAGAAAGCAGGCCCCAGATGCCGCAGAAGCCGTGCACGGGCACACAGCCCACGGGGTCGTCCACCTTCAGTTTGATGAGGAGTTCGGCACCCATGCAAGCGATCAGCGATCCCACTACGCCGATGACGATGCCTTCCCACGGCTCGGCGAGGGCGCACAGGGCTGTAGGCGGCAGACGAAGAGAGTCAGCTATAGTAGCTCTGCATGTGCTCTCTATTACTATAGGCTGCTGCATATCTCATGTATTTTTTAGCTAAAACGCCATTACGAGAAGCCAAAGAATGCAAATTGTCAAATCGTAGACAACTGCTACGAATATATAACATAAACTTTGTTTCATAGTACGAAATGGCTACATTTTGCTCAATTTTAGCCAAAAAATTGCCAAAAATCGCGTTCACTTTGAAAGTAGCTCTAAGTATGATTGCTTCTCACTCACCCAATATTGTAGCTAGAGCTACCAAAATTGGCCAGAAGTTTCCTTATTAAGTTCTCTAAGTGACCCAACGTTCAAAATGATGCTTCCCCGCTCTATATGATGCACAGGGGGGCTATTCTAACTCAGAGTCAACCTTACCCCTAAATAGCGCCTTTTGCGAATTTCGTCAAATGATGATAACTCCGTAAGTAAGTGACATAGGAAGTTGATTTTGTGGCAACATATAGGTTTTTTGACACCAAGGAATTGATTGACACCAGTATTATACATTTTGGAGTTCACCTAATTAGAAGAAGTATAAGATGTCTGCCAAAAGCGATAATTAAGACACGAATTGTACCATAGAAAGATGATTGAAGGATATACATGCATCATAGAACTGTACAGGTGGACGGAAGAAACGACAGAAGGAGAACACCCATGTATATCATGAATGCGGAATCTGTTCATGGTCTTGGACGCGGAGGCAAAATTGTGACCACAATCCTAAACCATAAAGGACTTGCAATCAGCTACGCAGAGCTGCGTAGGTACCAACATGATCTCGCATCTTTCACGGCACAGCACAACCAAAACCGCGTTGCGCTACCCTGTCACTTTGATCCTTGGCAATTCACTTCTGGCGCCATTGAAAATTGGGATCATGAGGGACAAACGCTGTATGGGCAGAGGAGGACATCCCAGAAAAGAACCTCGCATTCTTGCCTGTCCTGCCCTATCCTGTTACTGAGTATGCAACAGTTTATTCTGCGATGAGGAATTTTATGTCCATTGGCTCACAGCTAGTTCAAACAGAAATCCCAATGTATTGTGACGAAGGGGTATACTGTATCGTCAAGGCAATGCAATTGATGAGACCGCAGGAATTTAGCACTCTAGTCCCATGCTTGGGGACATTTCACTTGGTGAAAACTGTTTTGAAGTGCATTGGAAAAGCCCTCGGTGGAAGTGGAGCCGACATGACCTGGCTACAGGCTGGTGTCTTTGGTCTAGCCATTATTCAGAACTCAGTTCTCAATGGAGGACACTACAGCCGCTGTCTTGAAGGCATGCAACTCCTTGCTGAAACGTTCCAGCGTCTACTCTAAAAAGAATTATTTGCCGAGAGAGGTGTTGAGCGATAGCTTGCTATCCTGACTGACCTCAAATCAAGTGTTACAAAGAAGAACGTCACTGACAGTCAGAAATTGATGGCCAGGCTTATTGCAACTGCATCCACCAAGTTATTTGAAGATCTGAATACGTTCATCGCAACACGGTCTGCTGTGAATGAGAACTTCAGATTCTGGGTTCAGTTCCTCGGCATGATGGCTGTGGTGCATAATCTGCTGAGAGCAGATTGTGAGGGGATATTGGAAATTCATCTTGATGCCGTCCAACGTGCTCTATACCTATTCGCCGCCTTTGACTGACCAACTATCGTCGCTGGTGCTCTGTCTACCTGAAAGACATGCAGCGTTTACCTCAAACTGCACCATCAGTGCATGTGAACTTCTCAAATGGGAACTTTTCCATCAAGGAGATACCCGGCCGCTTCACTGCAGTCGGTGGTGACCAGAAGCTTGAGCAAAGTATAAACCTATCATCTAAATGCAGTGACGGAATCATCGGGCATGCCAAGCAGAAGCAGTACGTTGCTCAATGGGACTTGATATACCATGAAATGATGGCAGTAAAGAATCTGCATCGGAGATATGCTGATGTGATGGAGAGGACACACGATTCCTTTAACCACCACGAGTCATCCCAAGCTACTACAGTTCGCAAGGAGTCCCATATCCAGGCAATGGTAAAATTCATTGACGAGAAGGGCTCCCCATGTCTCTAGGGGCTTCCCCCATGCTGCACAATTTCGTGACAAAAGAGATCATGGTAAAAGAGATAAAAAATGACATACTGAGTGCCTTCGCAAAAGGAGAGGAGAAGTACTTGACATTTCGACTCAAAATGTTCGTACAAAAAACCACAAGACTTAATACCCCAGTCACACCAGGGCCTCGATCTCACTACGCTCGTACTACGCTCTAAGAGCGTGGTGGAAACGTGTAGAACGCAGTGTGGACGTATATGGACGTACTGCGATCATGATCGAGCGCGGTGCAGTCAGCATGACCGTGGAGAGCGTGGCCAAACTTTGAACATGTTCAAAATAATCGTGGTGCGAGCGTGGCGGAAATACAGCGCAGTGCGGGCGTATTAGAGACGTGGAAGGCGTAGTACCCACATAACTCGAGCGTAGTACGAACTTAATGGTCGTATCGCAAGCGTGTCGCGCCTGTGCGTGAAAATTGCTCGCGTCCGTATCTTCACACGATGTCAGATACGTTTTCATCACGCTGCTTACTACCTCCATGCGAGAGTCTCTGCGACCTGACACGCTTCTTCGCTATGACCATGGTGCGTCTCTAGCAAGCCTCGACCGCTTCGTACTACGATTGTACTACGCCAACCGCTCAGACTACGCGTTCTGTGCGCGTTCGCATTCGTCCGTTTAGTTACCTCAGAATCACGTCCTCCAAACTTGGGGTATAATTTGGGTGTTACCTGGGCCACCCCACCAGTTCAGCTCGATCCACTATGGATGAGGCAACACTACTCCCATGCATGTTTTTCTCGGCTAGAAGGAGCAACTCGAGGCGCCTAATTCTACTTGAATTGCCACAGCCCTCATCATTGCTGAGGAGGACGGAGGCAGGAGAAATAGAGAAACAAAGATCCTTTGCTGGCTTGATCTCCCCTTTGTCTTTTGGCGGCCATAAGCTCGTGTTTTCCCGTAGAAAATACATCTTTGATGATTAAGTTCATTGATTTAAGTTAGATAATCGTGATAATGTTTCGGTTCATATGTTGCATGTATAAGAACGGCCGGCGCGCCGGTATTTATATGGATCGTTGCCAGCGTCACAGTTTCGAGCGCGTGAAATTTGCCGCGCAGTTGTATGCGCGCGTGAGCGCTCTGCCTAAGCGCAGTGCAAGCGCTCGTATCGAAGCCAACCGATCTGATTGCTCGCAATAAAGACGCAGTCCTCGCCGCCAGTGCAGCGTGATCGCGGGCTCGTCCGCTTGCTTGCAGCGTGGTGAAAGCTTGTTGAGCGCAGCTGATCGGGCGAGTAAGACGCACTTAGATCGTAGTATGGACGTAATTAGATCTCAGTATCGGCGCTGGCGTCCGCGCTGGCCAATTGCGCACGTCTCCGTCAACCACGCTTTGGGGCCAATTTTTTTGAGGGACGAGCGGGCCCGAATTCGTGATGAGCCGTCAGCTCTTGGTGTGACTTGGGCCTGACAGTATTGAAGTCACTGTTTTGAGTACTGCTTCGTGAACAACCTGTTCGTGAACAACTGTTGTCAGTATTGAAGTCACTGTCTTTGAGTGAAAGTTAATTCATCGAGCGAACCTGAAGAACAATGAAAATAAATCGAAACAAGCCGCCAGAAGGACCTATCAAGAAAGCACGTGAAGGCACGATGAATGTTGTTAGTGAGAACGATTTGGAAGAATTCCGCACGTGATCGTCTCGGCCTCACACACGACCTCTTGAACATATGATGTTGCGACCCTCTACCTCTGCCTCTTAAATGTCTCCACATTCGATGGGGACGGGGAAACGTTTATGGCCCAGGTGGCGTAGCTAGATTTGGATTTCAGCGGGGCCTGGGGGGGTGGCACTGGGCGGCGACCTTACAATTTTTTGTGTCCCGGGCCACAATATATAACTTTTCTTTAAGTATTATACGTGTCTCTATACGGCAGTTTTTAATTCAATTGTTTGTATTCAAGCATCGGAATTCTCTTAGTGGAAACGCGTTGGGGCACCTGGCAGTGCGTGGGGCGCACTTCACCATATGTCATAGACATAATCGGCCACAGTTCGTAAGGTTCGTGTGAGCTTAGTCTTACTTCCAGCTTCAATTATGGGATCTCCTTCCTGTTAGGATCTTGTATTCCATTTTCGGTATGTATACCATCAGTTCGCGGCGACTGCTGGATATAGTAGTTCGACACGTACAGGCTGTATGAACTGCCCCTACGCCTTGGAAGGTTCCCATAAGTTGAGGAAAGGAGGCGCCACTGAAACCTGTACCAATAGAGTACAGGTTCAAGGGGTTGAACCAGAGACACCATCTACAACAGAAGAGATGGAGAGATTCTGGCACCCGTCAAACAATAATAAGCCTTCTTCTCGAGAAGCTAACTCTACTGCCATCTTCGTTCTACAATGACTTCTCAGAATACATATATAACCCAATATCTCCACTGTATGCGGACACATGGTGACAAAAAAGACGAGCTGTCTTATTCCGGCAGATTGCATCATTTGTGTCAACATCCCATAAGAAATTGGCATGGAAAAATGGCTTTAGGCCCACGCAGCCAAAATATAACCACCTCGTCATTTCTGGACATAGTCTATATGTTGACACCTCGTGACAATACTCATTCCACTGTCTTGGACTTCTCTCAATTCAGCACAAACGTGCCTGTGGTCTCGCTCAATCATCACACGAACTGTTTCCAGGTATCTGTATATTTGATTGACTCTCGCGGGGTCTACTATATGCCCGTTCTTTCACCAACAACAACCTTGAGTCCGGCTGTGGGTTCGCGAGCTGGAATGCGGGCAGCATACAACTCGATATTATACCGCCGTTCACTCACCCCATCGTTCCAGTGCGCTATTTCATAATATGGGCCCCTTTATAATCGGCTTCTGATGCTCAGTTACTGCCGGCGCTATACACAGGTCTTACGACGGTGTGACATAACCAGCAAAAATTTGGCCCGCGTTACAAAGAAGACAGCTCCAAAGGCCAAAGCCTGGAAAAGCTTGCGTGTGAAATTACACCTCGGGGAATCGATCAACTCCCTAACTCTGGCCCTGCTGCTGCTACTGATGACCCGCCGCGAACGCGAGCTATTACCTAGTGCAGGTGGTACTGAAAAAGAGCTAGCAATGCTAAGTGTTTCTCTGAATATCGAGCAGCAGGTTTCCACTTCGAGCCCCACAGAGGGTTCTCTCCAGCCGTCCACCGACTAGTCAGAGACCCTTTGCCTCATATCAACGCGTTGACATTCTACAATGCCTCACCACCAACTCAACCATGCCATTGGAGCTATCACACCTCCGACCCTGAAAACGAATTGACTTCCGATTGAGACACTGAAGCCAAGAGGATTTGGCTATGTGAACTGACCAAGAACAGTGTACCCGCAACCATCAAGGTCAAAACCTCGAGCCTCATTGTCAGGTCTTTCTGCTTCATGTGCTAAGTGCTCAACGGTCAACTTGCCCCATGTAGAAAGCGCTTGGTCTGTGTAGAAAATGTGGTACATTTTCTGTCAGAGTGCAGGAAAATATTAACCAACATGATTGGCTAAAACACCAATTGGTTTGACATAGGATTTAGGTTGGTTCGCCCTGTATTGTTGTCTAGTCCACTGCTCGTTCAGTTGTTCTTGGTCTTCGCAACTTTCGAGGTAGGGTAGATACGATTGTCATACTATTTATAAAGTGAGTATGTGTCGGTAACAAGGACTCTTCCTAGCACTAATCTATTTACTCACCATTATTTTTTCACTAAAGCGCTTCGCCACGCGTACAGTTCTATGATGATGTATAATCCGTCCCTCTCCAATCATCTTTGTAAAATCGGCGCGACAATTCGCTGTCCTCTAATTATCGCTTTTTGGCAGATCATCTCATACTTCTTCTAAACTTAGGCTTGAACTCCAAATGTCATAATACATTGGCTGTCAATCAATTCCGTTGGGTCGTCAAACAAACCTATATGTCCTGCGACAAAATATCCTTCCTATGTCAGCTTACTTACGCGATTATCATCATTTGAGCGAGCAATTCGGCAAAAGCGCCTATTTTGGGTAGGGGTTGACCCTGAGTTACAATTAGCCCCCTGAGCCATCATATAGCAGCGAGGGAAGCATCTTTTGAACGTTAGGGTCACTTTAGAGCACTTAATAAGGAAACTTCCCGTTGGCACAAATTTTTGGAGTATTTATATGCTCTAGTACCCAATATGTTGGGTGAGTGGAGAAAGCAATCATACTTATAGGAGCTACTTTCAAAGTCAAACGCTATTTTTGGTATTTTTCTGGCCTAAAATTGAGCAAAATGTAGCCATATTCGTACCAGAAACAAGTTAGGGTGGGGCCGAGACAATCAATCGCTCGGCCTACGAAAGTTACTAGTATTGCTCATGCAATGTAATTTCAGTGCAATTTTCAAAGTTCATGGCTTGCCTTAATAACATATTTATGCCCTTAAACTTCCAATATTGTTAATTTCTTTCACTTTGGGGCCTACCAAAAAAATCACATAAATCTAGCTGTACATAAACAAAGTTGCGCCACTTGACCCAAGAAAGTGTTTTTACCAACTTTTTTGAGGACAGTTAGTCTTACCATAAGGAATCATTGATTCCCACGGAAAATTTAACGGTTTTGCCTCTAAACAGCAGTCACCTATTACCTTTTGCTACCGCCCTCCCATTCAATAGCCATCATCGAACTGTTTGTTTACGACGAACACCCCCAGGGCCCTACACTAACTGGAATTGTCCGAGCGCCGAACCAGAATTGTCTATGAAATACGCGGCTTCAGTAGCCATAGTCCCGGATGTATTTTAGCCGTTCACTACGACACGGTCTTTCACCCCAAATGCGCGCGGTGTCAAACCGACAATACTCGCATATCTAAAACCCGATCTGGACGGTATTGGTTGGAAACGTGCCCTGGTGTAAATTTACAGCTGGTCTTTCCCAGACCCCGCAGACTAATTTTTTGCCGTGCCTGAGACAGAAATACCGGATCTCTTGACGCGCTTATCTCGCTGTGAACGCTAAATACCGGATTTCTGAGCGCTTATTTACTAGACTTGGTCGCGTGCCCTCGACCAATTCCAGATGATTTTACGTCGAAACGAGTGGAAACTGTCGAGCGCCGGACCAGCCTCTACGTATTTCATGCGGCAGGTTGGTCGCTTGCATTTGGTTAAATTTCGCATTGTTCGCCTTGATTGTTTAGCAGCAGCTCGCGGCTCGCCAAATACCGTATTTCTGGTTGGAAGCGACCTCGTAATCAGCGTTTCCGGGCCTCGTGAAACGCCTCGGCCGCGGGAAACCTTTTTCCTTCCCGCCCGCCCGTATTTGACTCAGAATCGCTATTATCCGCAAATACCGTTTCATTAAATACGACGAAGTCTCGTGTGAACCGATCGGGCCTATAGTCCCTCTGCGAGACAGACGGCAGATTATACAAGTGGTTCCTATACATTTTCTCCTGGCCCCACCCAGAGCCAGCGACTCAGACTTTCTGATTCACATCTCGCCGTGCGCGCGCCAGACCCACGCGTCCCGCGGTTCACTAACATCTTATAGTTCTCGCAAGGTTTTGAGCGTTATGAATCCAGATTCTGTGAGCGAGAATTCGGGAGAAGCGTGGAAGAAACGAGCAGATTATGCTACAGTTGTCTTAAGTTTTCCGTTCCCGTACCTCACTTTTCCTTTATAGTGAACCGCTGAGGCTAAACGCCTAGAAAATCTCAAATGACGTCTACTTACCTAGTACAGCGGGTTTGTGCGAGCTCTTGTGCATAGTAAACACATCTAAGAGTCCACGCACACACATTTGTGTCAAAGAATTCGGTTTCTCAGGTTGTCGACGAGATAATATCCCGGTATATATTTAATAACCCATGCTTATGTCGTTTGCGTATTTCGTGCGCATTCATAACCATATCTCTGCTTACGTGTTGTTGTGTCAGAGTGTACTATGATAACAGATATAATAAGCTTCTCGTGTCGCCCTACGACACCGACATCACTGGTGTATGCTTGGACCACTCGTCGGACCACAAATGGCAGTTTTCATAGCGAGTATCAGTTACTCTACAGCCCCACCACGATACTAGAAGCAGTGATACCACATGCTCTGTTAAGTAGCGGCATACACTCCCGGGGTACTGTATTAAGCCACCCGTATTTTTCGCGTAGCACGATCATTTTCGCCAAAATTCTCAGACCTCTGACGGACAATTTTCGCGAGTGTGCCGTTCAATTCGCGGCCGAGGGTGAATATGAATTATTCAGGTATGAATTATTCGCCTAGCTGTACTGTATTTTGCGCGGTCGGTGCTGATGCGTTCGCGAAAGTTCTGCCAGCTCAAATATTAAACCTACGCGGATATAATAGCAAGCTTAGTACCAGTCATAATGCCTATATCAACCCGACATTACATAATGTGACTCACTTGTGCAATCGCTTTATCTCGTCCCAACGCTGACGTATCGCCTGCGACAACCTACTACAACCAGAGCCTACGTACGCGGATAACCACGTAAAATCGGCGGGCCCTTCTCCAGAAATGTGGACGTAATAACACACAAGCTGACGACCGTGAAACTGCATTGACACTTCAGTCTCTGTCCGTTTGCTTTGGTGCAGTGTGTTATACGCGCTGCTGAACGAATCTTCTGTATATTAAATGCTGCGTCGGAAATCTGGCAGAAACAGCAAGCGGACAGCTATCACACGCATCGCTACGGTAAATGAGACCGGCAGAGGCGAAGCTTGTGCCAGGACAGCGTGTCCACTTTGCCGCCAATATCCCTACAGAAGCACGGCCCAGATTGCCGCAGAAGCGTGCACGGGCACACAGCCACGGGTCGTCACCTTCAGTTTGATCGAGAGTTCGGCACCCATGGCAAGCGATTCAGCGGATCCCACTACGCTCGAGTGACGATGCCTTCCCATCGGCTCGGCGAGGCGCGCACAGGGCTTGTAGGCGGCAGACGGAAAGAGTCAGCCTATAGTAGCTCTGCATGTGCTCTCTAATTACCTTATAGGCTGCCTTGCATATCTCATGTATTTTTTAGTCTAAACCGCCATTTTACGAGAAGCCAGAAAGAAATGCTTAAATTGTCAAATCGTAGACAACTGCTACTACGGAGTATATAATATATATAGTAGTGTTTTATATATATATAATATATATATATAAACAAATTCAGACTGGGTATTTATGATAACAAAAACACATTGATTTTATCTTCACACGCGGGTGTTCGTGTGCTACTTTGACTTCTATATTTATATATATATATATAATATATATATAATATATATTATATATTCCGTCATATGGAGCTTATATTCTGATCTGACATGAACCCAATTTTTTAAACAATGTGTGTGTATGTGTGTGTGTGTGCGTGTGTGTGTGGTGCTTGTGTGTGGTGTTTGTGGTGTGTGTAGTGTGTGTATTTGTTGTGTGTGCGCGCATCTGCAGTGGCGCGAGCCAGATTATTACTGTACAGATTGGGTGTACCAACCGTGAGAGGGCGTCCTGGTGCGTGCGCAGTCGCGGTGTGTGCGTGTGCTGGTAATGTACTCCTTTATATGTATATATATATATATATATATATATATATATATATATATATAGACGCGATTGAAGCTAACATACCTGTTATAGAAACGAGAGCGCCTAGTACTCCATTAATCAGATACGACACGTCCAACTTCCGGCGCTTTGTGACATAGCTGAAACGTGGCCGGGGGGATTTCATCATGAATAGTAATTTCATCATGAATAATAATTTCACCATAAATTTATAATGAAGAATAATTTCATTAGGAAGGGGGAGGTACTAATCTTACCTGATACCTACTAGTTTAGCTCTGAATTCAGCCTTTGCTTGTAAATTGCTGTATGCGCGCGCAAAGATGATGCTGTCGCTCCACAAACACACACACAGACGCACGCATGCATGCATGCACGCACGCATGCACGCACGCACGCACGCACACACACACACACACAGACGCACGCATGCATGCACGCATGCACGCACGCATGCACGCACGCATGCACGCACGCACGCACGCACACACACACACACACACAAACACACACACAAACACACACAGACGCGCACATTTGTGAAGTACCGTATATCGTGCGTTGTAAACCTCTCAGTTGTATTAGACGCACCCAAAAGAAACATTACAGAACATAGTAATTTGAAAAAATTGACGGCACAATAGCCCTCCCCTCTACCAAGTATATTATCACCATAAATAACGTCGCATGCTTTTATCCCTCTAATTAGGCCCCTACTCGTTTTGTTCAAGCTCGGGTTGATACAGTAAAAACCCGCGTATAATGAAGAACCTGTATTTTTCCCAGTTAGCCTAAAAAGGTTTTTTTTATAATTGGTGTTTACTGGAAAATTGGGCTATTTAGGTTCTTAAATAGGTTCTTATTTTCTTAAGAAAAAAAGATGCGTGTTGCTGTTAGAATATTGGTGCGGTCCATTGTTTATACAAAATATGCATATAATTATGTCTAAAAGACTGCAATCTAGACAAATACAAATCATATTCTACGTTATTATGCCCTTTATACCTAATAGAGGTATATAGACCACCAATAGCTTGTTTTAGTTGATTTATGCATTTTAAAGTGTTAACTGAATTTCATGAAATAAGAATCTGTTTCAAATTTTAGGCTAAAACAGGTTCTTACGTCAATAGAAAATCTTAGCCTAACAGGTTCTTAAAATCGCTAGGTTCTTAATTATACGCAGCTGTTACTGTATTATCGTTGGTTGGTATCTGCTGTAGTCTATTCCGCGAGGTGTGTAATATACCGTACCGTAGCTTGGCTTAGCCGAGTCTTGGCGATAATAACAACCGATATACCAACCGTTAGTTCATAGACCCTAATATGCTTACAGAGAGACGTTATCAGAGAAGAACAGCGTCCCATATAAGCCGCGAAATACGGCAATACATCACAACATTAACAAAATTAACAAAATTACAAATTTTTACAAAATTACAAAATTACAAAATTAAAATTACAAAATTAACGAAATTAACCACGACAGCAGAAATGTAAATCGGATGAGGACATGCGACGAAGCACCTTAGGAGAAGCCCCGTCATGCCACCTGCCATGGAGGAGTTGAGGGTAGCTACTGCAGACCTGTGTGAGGAGAAAGCAGCGATTCGTATCGAACAACACCCAACTTTTTTAACTACACGAGGGCATCAATTTTAAATTTTAATAAACCGATTATCCTTTTATGGGCCTCTCGCAAACAAGGGGACGCAGATGTATACAGCAAAATGCGGATACAGCAACGAGTTTAGGTACGGTACCTCGATCATACAGCGATTGAGGTAAGTGACTGTTATATCTGTTGGTTCATGCAAGTGTCAATAATTGTTTGCTTACAATTTTTCACATCTTGCACAAAGGATGTGTTGTATCTGTTTGTGTGAAATGTTTTTTTTCTCAACGGAGGTTGCTATATTTTTTTGTCGGTCAAATGTTTTTGAGATCATTAGAGACTATTTGCATTGCTCGTAATGTGTGTGTTTTGTACGTCTCCGTACTGTTACTGTAGATTTTGTTACCGAGGATGCTGGTGTTATCGACGTATATCATGACCGTGAAGGGATTCGAATATAAATGCATAGGTTACCTCGCTGCTAGCTTCCATTTCGATCCGGATATACCAAAGGTGCTTCCGCAATTGAAACCAAGCCAGCCCCACCTACAAAGGTTACCATTAGTACACACGCACACACGCACACACGCACACACACACATACATATATATATATATATATATACATTGGCGGCTAGTAGCATTATTCAATCCCTGATGGGCTATCATTCTGCACGGGCGACATTTATTTGCTGTCATGCGTATTTGATTTAGTACTAGATTGAGTACTTGGTTTAGAGGTACTGTGTCATAATTATAATCCATTTACTCGCATACATAATGGTTTACTTGTACAAACACACCTAAATGACGACAAACACGCCAGATCGCACGTATGCACAAACTCACAAGACTCACGCACATACGCATACGTGCAAGCACACACACACACGCACGCACGCACGCACGCACGCACGCGGTGCTGGTTAGACGTCATACTCCTACCAAAGCATGAACATCCCGAGGACTGCATTTGTAGGTGAGCCCATCTGTGGCGGGTACTTGGATTGAAAGCGGCCATGTCTAGGCTTCAGCAGAATCGTAGCGACCAGCCCGTTTATCCCGCCAACCACATGTACCTGAACACATATACACATGAACATGAACATATATACACATGTACCTAAAAAACATATACACACGTACATGAACATATATACACATGTACATAAACATATATACACATAAACATGAACATATATACACATGTACCTGAACACATATACCCATGTACCTGAACACATTACACACGTACATGAACATATATACACATGTACATTAACACATATACACACGTACATGAACATAATTATATTATATACACATGTACCTGAACATATATACACATGTACATGAACATATATACACATGTACATTAACACATATACACACGTACATGAACATAATTATATTATATACACATGTACCTGAACATATATACACATGTACCTGAACACATATAGGCCTACACACGTACATGAACATATATACACATGTACATTAACACATATACACACGTACATGAA